GTCCATTTAAGGAGGGTACTGTGATAGGTGCATAATCTACAAGTCTAATTCAATATCCAGTCTTTTGAAAATCATTTAGAATCCGTGTGAAGTGAATGAATATGATGTGATAAATTTGAAATGAATTTTTGTAGTGGTAAATATACCCTGTATGTTTGGTATATATGGAAAGCAATGAGGGGAAGATTGATGAAAATGTGAAACATGTCTCTACATTCTCAAGAATTGATTTTGATGATGATTCAAGTCAACAACATTCAAGACTCAAGCAAGCCCAATATATAATTTGATAAAGATTCTATTCAAGATTCAAACAAGCTCAAGATGATTAATGAAGACTAGATAGAATCTTAGAAGACTGGATATGGAGGTACAAGTTGATGAAGTAATATTATGCATAAGTATTCAAAACACAAGTGTGATAAAATTTCGTAACATGACATTTTTCAATGTCATAATTGATTATGATGCATTAGAATTGAGAAATTAATTTTTACCCCGACATAATTGATTATGCTCAGGAGATAATCGATTATGACAGTTCAAAATTCAAAAATATATCTGTTTTGAAGAATAAATGTTTTTGAATATATCCTGATTTTTATCCACGCAAATATTAATGTTCAACTGCCATTTTCTGATGCTATTTTTCTATTTAATTAAGTTTTGATGGAAAATAAAAAACACACAATTACAAAATTCGAACATACTGCATTAGAAAATATTGTTAGTATTCTTGAAAAAGAAAATGAGTGCTTAAAGAAAGATATTAATAAATGTAAAACGTTGGCTAAAGATAAAGAAGTTGTTAAACTTTGTGAAAATTGTAATCATTTAGAAAATGAGATTTTCAAGTTAGAGAAAAAAATGAGTAAGTTTTCAAAATCTTCTGAAAATCTTGATTCTATATTAAGTTATCAAAGAGGGGATTCTAGCAAAGTTGGACCTGGTTACAAACCCAAAGAAAATCTAGAGCCTCATAAAACTATTTTTTTGAAAGAATCAAGGAAAACAAGTGTGAAATCAGTTTCAAAAACTTTAAGAAACTCATTTAGACCTTTCAAAGAAAACCAACATGTTTTTATTGTATGAAATTAGGTCATACATCAAATAGATGTTACATAAAACATTTTGGTATATCTAATGGCAAATATGAATGGGTGCCTAAAGGGTCAAAACATTTATACATGTCCAGATGATATTTTGAACATCTAATAGATTATGACAAAAAACTTTTAAAAATTTGAAATTATTAAAGTTTGAAATTTGAAAGTTTGAATTTTGAAAATTTGAAATTTGAAAGTTTGAATTTTGAAAATCTGGATTTATGAAAATTTGAAATTATTAAAGTTTGAAATTTTTGCAGTTTGAGATTTTTGAATTTGAATTGGAATTTGAAATTTGTTGCACTTTGAATTTGAAATTTCGAATATGAGTGAATTTGAATTTGAAAGTTGCCTCAATAAGAAGACTGCAATTGAGGAAAACTACTGCATTTCATTATCTCTGCAATTATTTCCTTCCCCGATTTTCTCTGTCTTTATTTGCTTTGGGTATCCTAAATATTGCCTCCTTAATATGATGTTCTTCTCTATGACATTTTGTGATGCGTTATCTTATCTGCCTTGATTTATGTATTAATCTGTGCAAATTTGTGCTAAATTTTTATTGCAATATTTTTCATAATTATCAATGAAATAGGGAGATATTTTGATGATATTAATGTGTGAAAAAGGGGGAGATTTTTTTCTCTTATATATTTTTTTTATGATTATCAATGAAACAGGGGGTATTTTTTGATGAATTAAAATCTATATAAAATTCATTCCTAATTCTGAATTAAACAGGAGAGTTAAGAAAAGTCTTTGCTCATATGGGGAGTCTTGTTATTAATATATTCAGGGGGAGATTAAGAGACTATGGCACTTGATACAAATCTATGTTATACTATACTGTGCTAATCTTGAGTTGGCTATATAGAGTCAAATATTTTAATTCATTTTAGGTGTTTTCTTGATCATCATCAAAAAGGGGGAGATTAAAAGCAATGAGAGGGAGATTAATGGCAATGTGAAACATGTCTCCATATTCCCAAGAGTTGATTTTGATGATGATTCAAGTCAACAACATTCAAAATTCAAACAAGCCAGAGATATGATTTGATAAAGATTCTATTCAAGATTCAAGCAAATCCAAGATGAATCTTGAAGACTAGATAGAGTCTTAGAATACTGGATACGAAGGTACAAGTTGATGAAGTAATATTATGCATAAGCCTCCAAAACACAAGTGTGATAAAATTTCGTAACATTACATTTTTCACTGTCATAATTGATTATGATGCATCAGAATTGAGAAATTGATTTTTACTCCTACATAATCGATTATGCTCAGGAGATAATCGATTATGGCAGTTCGAAATTCAAAAAATATATGTTTGAAGAATAAATGTTTTTTTAATATAACCTGATTTTTATCCACGAAAATAATAATGTTCAACAGCCATTTTTAGATGTTATTTTTCTATTTAATTAAGTTTTGATGGAAAATAAAAAGCATACAATTACAGAATTCGAAAATACAATTTACATTCAATCAGTTTTGAGAAAAGAATTATGAGTAAAACAACAAAGATATTTTACATGTTTTGATAAAACTCTCTTCTCCATTGTCTATTGTGCTTTCATTGTTAATCATACTTGTTCTTGGAGGTTGACATTCTACAGACTTCTATAGTTTATTGTCTCTATTACCCAGGTGTGACTGTTTTTATTTTATTACCTTCATCCTTTGTGAGCTTAAGTGGTTGATTGTTAAATTCTTTGTTTAGGGTTTAAGTAATCACTGTCATTCTATTGTGTTTTTTTGAGTTTCTGTGTGGAAACTGTTCATCCTTTGATTTGTTTAGGGAGGTGTTTTCATCATTTGATTTGTTTAGAGGGGGTGTTCATCCCTAATGGGATTCTAAGGAGGTGTTCATCCTTAGTGGAATTTTAAAGAGGTGTGTTCATCCTTTGATTTGTTCAGAGGAGGTGTTCATCCCTAGTGGGATTCTAGGGAGGTGTTCATCCTTAGTAGATTTTTATGGAGGTGATTGTCTTTTAAATTAATTTGTTTTTTGCTGAGTTGATTGTAATTTGTGAACTGAATTTAAAAAATAGTGAATTTGGGTCACTCTTGTGTTAAGAGTTGACTGAGAACTAGATGTAGGGTTGACTATACCCGAGCCAGTATAAACCATTGTGTGCTCTTCTCTTTCCCTTATCTCTTTTCCAGTGCATTACTCTACTTACACCCCTTATTTTTATCTCTATCTTTCTCTATCTTGTTGATATTTTATCTCTTTGGTTATATTGTTTCCATTTTATCTTTGTTCAATTTGATAATTAAAATTGAATTAATAAATATTGGACATCTTAAAATAAATTTTTAATTTGACATTTATTTAATTTGTGCATCTATTCACCCCTCTATATATCATTTGTTTAACATATTTTTTTTTATTGTGATGAACGCATGTTTTAGACAAAAGCATATGATGCATGTGTTAAAATTTAACAGGAATATGATGAAAGATGATAAAATCTTAGATATTTTTGTTAATTTTACATGATATTTTAAATGTATATATAAATACTCAAGGAGTAAATAGTCTATATCTTGAAAATAATATATTTATGTAAATTATATAAATATATATGATATATGTTTTAGGATGTTACCATTAATTATATTAATAATTTAAATTTAATATGTAAATTATATAAATATATATGATATGTGTTTTGGGATGTTACAATTAATTATATTAATAATTTAATTATTGTATGATATATATATATATGAAATAATTTATTTTAAAGAAAAGTATATAAAACATAATTTAAATATTATTTATTTTATTAAAGAGAATAAAATAAAATAAAATATTAAATTAAATTTATATTTTATGTTATAATAAATAGTTTTGGGACGTTACAATTAATTATATTAATATTTTCTTTAATTTAATTATTGTATGATATATATTGTGTGCATATATATATATATAAATAATTTATTTTAAAGAAAAGTATATAAAAAATAATTTAAATATTATTTCTTTTATTAAATAGAACAAAATAAAATATTAAATTAAATTTATATTTTATGTTATAATAAATATATATAACAACTTTATATATTTATTTTATGATTAATTTTTATATATAATTTTTCACTTTTTATAATATATATTATTAAATATAAAATATGTAATAACGACTTTTTAAAATTATATTGTATAATATAATTGTAATTAAATGTAACATGATTTCAATAAAAAAGTTACATAAATGTAAATAATGCATCTTGACGAAATTACATAAAATTTAAGAAAACTATTCATGTACATAGTATCAAATATATTATGTTTTTTGAAGCTTATTATATACAAAGGAAAAGTTGTAAATGAAAATTGAAATGTATTTATTGTACCCACGTTATTTGTTCCATTGCAATATTTTTCCACACCATTAATTACATAATTTGACCATCAAGCCAATGGAAGGAGTCTGAGTCACAAATAGTATATATTTTTCTTATACATTTTAATCAGGTCAAACCAATGTACCTCTATATACAACTCAATAATTATTCATCAACACAACAATATATGAATTAAGACTAATGCAAACCAAGAACATGCCAATTATTTGGTAATAATATTTACTTTTTAATAATATAATCTTGTGTGTGATACATGAAAATATTATAAAACAAAATTATTTCTTTAAATACTATTATATTAACTTAATATTCAGAAAACCATATAGATATTTCATATTTCTTCTGTATTTGGCTTAAACCTTTTTTTTTATTTTTTATTGTGTGCATTGAACTACTTTTGGGTGAAGTCTCTTTCTCTTGTTCGTCAGATCCCATCTTCTCATCTTCACCGTCCACGTGGTATTCATCCAATAAATATTAATTGAAACGAGTAGGTCTCCCGCGCCAAATACATGATCACACTCGTTGACACACCCATTTTGATCTCAACACGTGTCCAACATTAATTTTAGCATGACACGTGTCATGTATCAGACTGCCAATATAGTTGACCTTTTAAACCTCACTTCATTACTTATCTGTTTCCTCTATAAAAACACCCATTTTACCAAATCACCAAATCAAACTAGAGAGAGTTCAGAAAGTACCCAAAAACTTTCAATTCATAATCAGAAATCAAAAGATTCACTTTAACGCAACAACCTTCTTGAAGAAGAAGAAGATTGAAGAAGAAGATGGTCTGTTTTTGTTTTCTGGTGGATCAGACAAAGAAGGTGAAGCGGAGCAAGCCGGTGGCAGGGTCGTGTTCGCGGTGCGGAGGCGGTGCCAGTGTGGCAGACATGATTACACAAACCAGATTTTGCTACGTTCCTTTCTATTGCAAATCCTGGAAAGCTATCATGTGCACTTTCTGTGGAGCCATGCTCAAGTCTTATACATAGATTCATTTTCAACCAAGTTTAAATTGTGGTAGCCACACTTATTGCAATGGTTAAGATTACAAACATCCCAAAAATATTGGTGTTATAAAATCAAATATCAGGGTTTAGAGTTTTGGCTTCTTCTTGTCAAAGCAAAATCATCCATTAATTGTTCCAATCTGTTTTTGGGTAAGTGAATAAGGTTTTAGTCAATAGCGATTAGAAAGTATGATCATGGTTTTGAACTTTATCTTTTAAAATATATGTATTTTAGCATTTATAGGTAATTGAGTGGCTATAGTTTTCATATCCCTTACATTCTTAATTATGGTTAATCCTAAGATAAGGTCCCATGTTTTAGTTGGGAATAGCTTTGATAATACTGTAGGACTCCAGCTGTAGAGAAAGTTTAATGCATGTTTGAAAACAGATGTACTTGAATATTGGATTCATACTCCTTTCACACACAACTTTTGTTATGTATAAATAAATTTCTCTATAAATATTAAAAATATACTTTTTTATAAGTTTAAAATTATTTTAATATTTGTAAAAATTAATTTATGCACAGATCTTTTTTTTGTTTTCAAAATTTTGAAGCTGATAGGTTAATCTTTAACCTTGTTATATTTTAGTTTTGTCTCTCCACGTTTAAAATGTTTCATTTTGTTAAATAAAATGTTTTTTTCACATAAAAATACATTAGATAAAATGTGTTTTCCATCATCTTTATTTACTTTAAATGACCTCAGAATGTGATAATTTTTATACATTAAGGAACATAACATTATAATGATATATAATGTATGTATGATGCATAAAATATAGAAAACTAAATGGGATATAATATAAATCATGTTTAAACAATTTTTTATTAAAATTACAAATATTTTTTAACAAAATGGCTTTTATATGGTTATTTTTAACAAAATAATAAGATAAGTAATAAATTATATATCCAATGGTATATTTTCATGATCAAAATATTAGACTAGTTTAATTTATTTATATTAACAATGAATATTATTCATGCATTAAGAAATTCAATAATTGGTGCAAGTAACGTGCTTGGCTGCATAAGGTTAGTAATTTTGTTGAATATGAATGTTGAAGACCTTCTTTTCAAAAGAAAATAAAAACAAAATGGTTAATTTTCATGCTATTTTGCAAGATTTTTCTGCATGGAGAACTAACATGGGTGGCGATGAAATTTGATGACAAGCAACATGCACAATGTTCATCATCTCGTGCGTTTCTTTCTATCTTACAGTGGAAGGAAACGTTGTAACTAAAAATTGAAAGGTATCTACCCACATCATATACTTTCTACAAAATTAATTGCATGAATCCTAATCACAAATAAATTTCTCCTAATTATCTATAAAATTTATTCAATCATCTATACGTACAACTCAATTATTATTCATCAACATATGAAGAATATTCAACATCATAATCATGAATAAGGAATAAGGGATTCAAAAAATAAAATAAAATCAATTTCTTTATAAACTAAAAATAATTTATACATAAATTAAAAAGAACAAAAAGAAAGAAGATGGGTTTATTTTCTGGTGGACCACTCCAAGAAAGTGAAGGGGGAGCAAGAGGTGGCGGGATTCTGTTCACGGTGCCGCCACGGTGCCAGCGTGGCTGATATTATTACACAAAACCAAATTTGGAGCCATGCTCAAATCTTGCACATCATCATAAATTAATGGTCCAAAAGTTCTAAAATATTGAATGCAAATGGGATAAGTTATGTTTCTTTATTTTATACATAGGAGTTTCTTAAATATATTATTGTTTTGAGCATTGATGGTAATATTATATATATTGAACTCTCTTTTTTTCTTCTTTATTAATTTCTGGAATACAAGGATCTATTCAGTTAAAAAGAAATAAAAAATAAATAAATTATAGTAAACTATGTTCTTATTACGATATTTTTTTTGTTAAAAAATATAAATAACTAAATTAAAATTAAAATTTTGTTTCGTGATAAATATATTATTATTTTTATTGATGAAATAACTTTTCAATATACCTTTAAATTAATATTTTTTTCAGTAATATATTTTATATATATAATAATACAATATTTTTTATTATACTATTTTTAAATATTTGAAACTAAAATAATATAAATTACAAGCAAATAAAAAATAAAAATAAAACGATACTTTCTTGATTTTTCAAGTTGTATTTTCCACAAAACCTTCAATTCAATATTTAATAATTATATATGACGTTATTTCTTATAAATAAGATAATGTTTCAAATATTTACATATTATTACGAATTAAAAGAGATTGTCGTCAAATAAATTTTTGAATTTTTTATCATTATCATTTTTTTTCTTAGAATTATAAAATATCACTGTATTAATCCTGGTAAAATTAAAGTTAGAAAATAATATACTCATTGGGATTTACTTTTTGTGTTTGGCGCAATTTTTTAATTTGAAAATTAAAATAAAAAGGACGAGAAAAATTGGAAGATATTTTCCAATTATGTCTTTGCAAATTAATTGTCCCACAATGATTGGCTTTATCATTTATTCATAAGGAAAGGAAGAGGAAGGCTAAGACACACAATTTATTTTCAAACGGTTAATTAATTAGCAGTTTTAAAATTATATGGTAATTTTTATTTCGGATTAGATTCATATGCACTATTTTCATCATGTTTATAATACTTTTTGGTTCTAATATTAGGCTAATAAGTAGGTATATTTAATAAAACAAATTTTATGTCTGAAGGCAATAAAAAAAAAGTCATAATCATGCTCAAGAATAAAAAATAAAAAATATTTTAAAAAAACCAAGTGAAGGCAAATTTGAAAAATAAAATAAAAATAAAAGATAGATTAATATTTTTATCTTTTAATTTGTACATTTTTTAAAGATCATGTTACATTGAAAATAGACAAGAATAATTTGTTGACAAAATATCGTATAAAAAAATGGCAAAACGGGTCAATTCCTTCTCGTTTTGGCCTACCCCATCTTTGACCATCTAAAAGCGGTAGTGCGGATCGACCCACTATAATCATGACGGATTGTAGACTTTGGCTCGTCCGTCAAGAGCGGATTGACGGCTGACCCGCCATAATTTAGAAAAAAATAATTTATTTTTTTAAATCAAAATTTTCAATAAATTTAATAATAAGATTATTATTTATTTGTCAATAATTCAATATATATATATATATATATATATATTATTTCAATTTAATAATATAAATCAATAAATTTATTTAAGAAATTATAATTTAGAACAATAATAAAATTTACATAATAATAAATAATAACAAATATATATATATATATATATATATATATATATATATAACGTTAAAACTTATATAATTTATATTTTTTATATTAAAATATTCAAATACCTATATTTTTTTTGATAAAATTTAATATTATTCTCGCTTGAGTAATTCTTATACCTTTAATTCAAGTCATAAGGATACAAATAATCGAGTGTTTAGGATGAACAAGAAGAACAAGAGAGAAAATTGTGTTTCAAGTAAAAGAATATTTTACGTAAGAGTGAAATTTTTTTAATTCTTTTTTTAAAAATTTTAACTTGATATATTATTTTTATAATTGACTTTATTATAATAAAAAAATAATTTTTTATTAATTAGGCGAATCGCAGGCCAAACTTCCCGTCCAGCGGATTGGTCCGACGACTTGGTGAAATGAACTAAAACGACTCGAACTAAAAATATCAATCTATCTCGTCATATTGTAACAAAGTGTCACCTATTTTGCCCTTTATGTAAAACGTGAAACAATTACTAATCTCTTACCTTAAAAACCTTCACAAGTGTCGTGTTATTATTAACAAGAGAAGATACGTGAGATCATTGGTAAACTAGAAATAGCATTATGCAGACGAAGATGCAAGTTGAAAATATGAAAATTAAGTCATGCCCAATAAATGTTTTTATTTAGCCTTTTGAAAAGTCATGCAAAATTAACAACTAATCTAGATATGAATTTAATATCCCAATATTAAAGTGGAACACACATTCATTAGAACCAACAAATTCTCACTCAAAACTTCCCAACTAATTTTGTTTTGAGAAATTATTATAATAAAGTTTTAATTGCTGAACTGAAATTGAAGTGGGTTGAATTTCCATGTCCAATGAAAACCGATAGAATGATTAATGTTGAAAATAAGCAAACGCAATAAATGTTTGGAATGTGAAAAGGGCAAAAAGGTTCAACGCATCAAAAATTTATTTTCATATAAAAAAATATAAAGATTTATCATTTTTTCTAATATATCTAAAAAGGACATAACTAAGATTAATATTGTTAAATAATAAAAAATAGTGAAATTCCATGGTAGATGAATATTTTAATTTTATTTTTTATTTTACTTAAAGAAGGACGCGAATTATATATAAAAAAGAAATAGAGAGTTGTAATTAAAAGGAAACTATTGGTCATATGTTTTTCTCAAACGCTAATCAATATTTCAAAATTAAAATTTGACTATGAGGATTAATCTATAATATTTATATTTTCAATAAACATGCAAACACTTTTTAATTAACAATGTGTGTCTTGTTTTATTTTACAATAAATAAGTGGTTACTCATAAAATATTAGTTTTTTTAGTGGTACAAACGAGATGGGCCCATGGGCCTCATCATCGATCCTATACTCCGGGATTGAGTTGGGAAGGAAGAAACATTAGTTCATAATATTTTAAATTTAACGTTTTAATGCTTCCAAAATAATTATAATTGTTTATAAATAAAAAAAATATTATTTTACTGTTGACACCGTATATATAAGTTATTTAAAATTAAATAAAAAATTATATAAAAGTTTTTTTAATAAAAAAATATTTTATTATGGATATATATATATATATATATATATATATATATATATATATATATATATATATATATATATATATATACATTATTTAAAATTAATCAGAATTTTGTATATAAGAATTTTTTTCAAAATTTACATAATTATTTTTCTAATTTTAAGTAAAAATTGTATATAATTATAATAAAATAATAAATTTTATTTTAAATAGTTCTTATTAGCAATTTTTTTGAAAATGTTCTAAATATTTTTCAAGAAAATATTTTTATCATTTTTGGACATATTACAAGAAATTCTTAAAAATTATGAAAAATACTAAAGTTAATATTTAAAGCTGATTTTAAATAACATGATAATATTCTTATGGAAAAAAAGTTTTTTCATTTATAATTTAAACACAATAAATATGTTTTATTAACAAATTATTATTTCTAAATACTTAAAATGCAGCAATTAAATTTAAATAAATATAAAAAAATGTGGAACCCACAAAAAAATCCAAATAAATGTAAATGAATATTAAGAAAAAAGCTGTAGAACCCAATAGAAAATTCCACTCATAGTAGGAAAAATGCGCAAAAAGTATACGTTATAAATATATATATATATATATATATATATATATATATATAAATAAAAGATAATATTGATATTAATAGTAATAAAAAATAATAATGATATTAATGCTAATAAAAAAAATCCTCTAAAAAAATAATTTTTGTTTCATTTCTCCCCTAAATAACTTTTATTTTTATTCTGTTTTAATTTGTCAACTACATATTTCATCTGTATACTCCGTAAGTGTCCATTTGTTATAACAAAAGATAGAGAAGAGAAAGGAAGAAAGTAAAAGTGAGAGAAATTTTAGTAAGGAAGAAGTGTAAATAATATCTAAAATTTATATTAAATATCTAAAATTTTACATGTGTTTATTTGGTTTTCTGATTATTTTACATTTTTATGTTATTCCATGTAATATAAACTACTTTAAACACATAAACTAAACTCAGTTTAGAATAGTTTTGATACCTTGGAATATGTAAACTACTTTAACATAAACTCAGTATTATGTATTTAAATTAAAATTAAATGACATAAACTAAACTATACTCATTGCTGGTCAGCAACTTTTTTGTACCTAGTATGATAAAAGAGGTTATCCTCCTAATGTCCTGTCAATGTGAAATAAATGATATTTTTAAAGAAAATCTCAAAAGAAACATCCTGCATGGTTCTTAACCCACACAAATCTTGCATGTTCTGTGGTGAACGCATAACTAACACCAACCACTTACATCCATCTTTTTCCACTGTTCCACACACACAAAACAAAAATGGAAATAAAATGAAAAAATCATCTTGAAAATTATTAAATATTTTTAAAATAATTAACAACAGAAATTTTTTTATAAAATGAATAATAAATAAACTATATAAAATAATATGATACCATCTTTAATATAAAATTTTAAGATTATAATTTTTTTTACTTGTAAATTATTTAACTTTTCCATTTTTATTTAAATTTAAAAAAAAATTCAGCAAGTGTATATATTTTTATGCTGTATACTTTTTTAAGTAGAGGTGGCTTTGGGTGATCCATAGCACAGTGTTTGGGATTCTCATATCTTACACCCACTGGTTGCCATCAAGCAGGTTCAAATCAGTGGTGCGGCTACCGTGACTTTAGGACTCATTATTCTTCTCTTGTTTCCTAAATTATTTCACAATAATACTATCAGTTTTCCAAGTGTTGACCTAGTGAAGCTCAGTTCATAATTCAATGTTAGGTTTATAGAAAGTTTTACTGTTCAATTTTCTCACAATAGTTAAAAACGAGAGCTGTATCCAAATAAACTAAAGAGTTACTTATTTCTATAATATCTATTCACGACTCTTCATTATTTTTTTTCACATAACTACTCGTTCATTATTATTTAATAAATCATAAAAGTAATCTATTTTCTCTTTAAGGAAAAGGTTAACAACCAACCAATTAAAAACTCATCCGTGACTTAAGGCACAAGATAAACAGAAGTGAACTTTACCCAGACCTGACAAATGTTTATAAATATGTTTTTCCACATGAAAATAATGAAATATTAATTGATAATTCATATGATTAGTTGCAAATTGCAATGATTTAAGTAGTAGTAGTTATCCGAGATTTGAGGAGTTTGATGAATAAACTTGACAGTGTTTTATAAAGTCATATCCTTCACTCTGTCATTGTCTATTCTTATAAAGCTCATGTACTGGAAGCCTGACAGATGCACAATCATTACTTTACGCTAAAGTCATCTTGAATAACAGCAATTAGGTTATAGATTTTTTTTTTCATAATTTTATTTATTTATTATATAATTTTGACCCCTATATTTTTAAACTAAAACTTAAAACAAAAGTACGCACAGTTCAAAAAAAAAAAAAAAGTGTTATTGAAAATGGTATGAGAAGGAGAAAGATAGTTGGTGTGCAAGAGCATGTGCAACAATGCGGCGGTTATTTAAAAACATGGAGTAGTTTTAGGTACAGACATTAACATCAAACTTCGAACCAAGCTTTGTCTCATATTCTCTCCCCTACCACCATCTTATTTATTGTTCTTCACTTATCATTCAATGAATTTATTTATTCAATTATCTTATTAGTTTTCAATATAAATTATTATTATTTTATTTCATAATAAATGTTTGTATTAAAGTTAAGATCAGACTTATTTTAGTGTCAATTATGAGACACAGTTTTTTTTTCTAATTAAGATCAAATAATTAAAATTAATAATATATATATATATATATATATACAGTATTATTAAACATCATAAACCTCCAAATCTTATATATAAATAAAATATTTATCACCTAATTTAATTCATATAATTTCCAAATCTATTAGAATTGAACGTGATTTTTAATAATATGATAGCAAATCTTAGATCAAAATTAAGTTTTTACTCACTCATCCAGCCAAAATCATTACCATTTTTACTTGAACAAATTCAATCTCAATAAAATAATATTTTAAAAATTTTAAATAAATTTCACTAATTGTACCATATAAAATACATTAAATTACATTCCAGTCACTCAAATAATATCATATGTCAATATATTTACATTTTTGAAGAGTTAAATAACCTTATAAAATATTACATTCACAGACAGACAATGTTTATTATAACTAATAATTTTATCATATATATAATTAATATAGATTTTAATAATATTATTATTATATATTTATTAATAATATATATTTAATTGATAATGAAAATGACATTGAATTGATAGAAATATAAATATATGTAATTTTGAAATTTAAATAATAAAATTTACGAAATTAAAATTAATAAAATGGAAAATTCGACTGTAAAATTCGTAAATTGAAAATTTAGCTATAAAAATCACAAATATTCAATAATATATCCATCATTTAATGATTTATATAATATACAAATAGTAATTTATTAATTGAAAATTAATTGAATAATTAATAATATATGAAAATAAAAAATATTTTAACTGAATTCCGTCACCGTCAACGTTGATGCATGCATAGAGAGAGGGCCACATGCTACTTCTGTTATATAAGTATCTTGAAGCCGCGTTAATGTAGGCCCCACAAATCCTTCGACACAGCGCAGCACACACGGGACAGCAACCATTCCTTCTCGCCATCAATTTATTTTCTCTTATTTATATTTTGTGTACACAAAATGTATTCTACGTATTTATTATGAACCTTTTCAACTAACCTATACTGAACGTTATGAATTAGGTCTCTCTCTCTCTCTCTCTATATATATATATATATATTAAATCTTATTAATCTTGTCTCCAATCTAATTTTAATTTAATTCTTATACATGTAATAAAATTGGTATAAACTATCAAATATTTAACACAAATAATTTAAGATAATCAATAAAGCTAAAAAACCATTATTAATTGATCTTTGCTTTATTATCTAATAACAAAATATTTAATAAATGTATTAATTTTTCTATTAGTTACTTTAAATGTCATCTGTTAGTTCTTACTGTACAAAGATATACACGGCAGGTATGAATTAAACAATGCCTAACTTTGCCACAGAGAAAAACAATTGCTAACTTGTGTGGTGTTTATATAATATTTTTTGGACTTAAATTATTCATTGCTTCTCAATGATTCTGGATTTCAAAAATCACAACAGCACCACAAAATCTCAAAGGAACAGCTGGTTTTATGGGGGGGGTGTAGGAGTAGTAGTAACACTTTGAAGTTTCGTACCCTTTTCTTCTTCGCTGTGGGGTCCTCTTTTTTCCTCAGTAAGTGACAGCCTAATCAACAGCCTGGAAAAGGGTGTTAGCAACCACACTAAAAAGCTCAACTTACGGTTATGGGGTGCTTCATTACTTCATTTCATTTTCATGTATGTAGTGTAATCTAAAAAGGGTCTCTCTCTAATGTTCCAAACCTTGTTCCTTTTTGCACCAGCTTATTCACATTAAGGTAAGTCTTATTACCATTATTTGTTTTAACCTATGCTCAATCTACTTACGTCAGAATACTAGATTTAAGTCCCTTTTGGTTGTGGTAGGGGAGCTGAGGTTTGTGTCTTTCTGCAGTGTTTGTGAAGTTGGCACCTTCGTACTTTGTCTCTTTGCTGTAATGGAAATGTCTAGTTCTGTGCATTGCTCCTAATAGATCCGTTGTTGTTGCAGGTTTTGTTGTGGGATTTGAGATTTGCATTCTTGGAGTGCCTTTGGATCTGGACTTTGAAAGAACCCGTTTTGGTGATTTGGGTATCCATCAAACCGTTTATGGACTATTGAAGAAACTACAACGGTGAAGATGGAACTCATGAAATGGGTTCCCTGTGTTGTGGTTGGTGTTTTTCTAGTTTTGGTTAATGGGTCATTTGCCTTATACACTCCTCCTGATAATTATCTAATTTCATGTGGTTCTTCTCGAAACATCACCTTTCAAGGTCGCACTTTTGTTCCCGATTCACAGCATTCTTCACTTGTAATGAAAACTGGAAATTCTTTTGTTGCAAGTACCAATTCTAGTGCCCCTTTTCCTATTTACCAATCGGCTCGGGTTTTCACCGAAAGAGCTTCTTATAGGTTTGAGGTGCAGCGAGAAGGTAGGCACTGGGTGAGGCTATACTTTTCCCCTGTTCCAAACTCCGGTCACAACTTGACTTCAGCTTCTTTAACAGTGGTTACTGATGATTTTGTACTCTTGAGCAACTTCACCTTTAGGAAATACAATAGTTCTTTTATGTTCAAGGAGTATGCAATCAATGTTACATCTGATACCTTGGTTGTCACCTTCATTCCTTCGAATGGTTCGGTAGCCTTTGTCAATGGAATAGAAGTTGTGTCAATGCCGAATGAGTTGTTTGTTGATCAGGCGCTGGCTATTAACCCGCCAGCACCATTCAATGGACTTTCTGACCTTGCTTTCGAAACTGTTTATCGCTTGAACATGGGGGGTCCTTTGATTACTGCTGAAAATGACACCCTGGGTAGGACTTGGCTGAATGATAGGAAATACCTTCATGTGAACAGCTCGGTCCTTAATGTGTCGGTGAATCCTTCGACCATTAAGTATCCCGTGGCTGTTAGACCTGAGACGGCCCCAAATTGGGTCTATGCCACTGCTGAAGCAATGGGGGATGCTAATGTAAATGATCCAAATTTCAACATTACTTGGGTCTTCAATGTGGATCCAAATTTCTCCTATTTCATCCGGGCGCACTTTTGTGATATTATGAGCAAGTCACTCAACACTTTAGTGTTCAATGTGTTCATAAATTCCGACATAGCTCTTCAAAGCCTTGATCTCTCAACCATAACTAATGACTTGGCTGTGCCTTATTACAAGGACTTTGTTGCCAATGCCTCGGCAGACTCTAACACTTTGACTGTAAGTGTTGGTCCAGATACTGTGGCTGATTTCCCAAATGCGACAATGAATGGGTTGGAGATAATGAAGATCAGCAACTCATTAAAGAGCTTGGATGGGCTTTATTCAGTTGACACTCTTCTTCCAAGTTCACATTCTAAGAAAAGCATGGTAGGAGTGATAGTTGGTTCTGCGGTTGGGGCCCTAGCTGCCGTTGCGATTGTTGGTTTGTGTTATTGCTGCTTGATGGGACGCAAATCAAAGTCATCCACTCAACAGGGCCATTCATGGCTTCCTTTACCCCTTTATGGAAACTCTCTTACCATGACGAAAAATTCAACAATTTCACAGAAGAGTGGAACTGCAAGCTGCATTTCTTTAGCTTCATCAAATCTTGGACGATTCTTCAGTTTCCAGGAAATCCTAGACGCTACCAACAAATTTGATGAGAAGCTACTTCTTGGTGTTGGTGGTTTTGGAAGGGTTTACAAGGGAACGCTTGAAGATGGGACCAATGTAGCTGTTAAAAGGGGTAACCCAAGATCTGAGCAAGGCCTTGCGGAATTCCGGACAGAAATTGAAATGTTATCCAAGCTTCGCCATCGTCATCTTGTGTCCCTCATTGGTTACTGTGATGAGAGGTCAGAAATGATTCTTGTCTATGAATACATGGCTAACGGACCCCTCCGGAGTCATTTGTACGGAACAGACCTGCCACCCCTCTCATGGAAGCAGCGGCTCGAGATTTGCATAGGAGCAGCAAGGGGCCTTCATTATCTCCACACCGGTGCAGCTCAAAGCATAATTCACCGAGATGTAAAGACAACAAATATCCTCTTAGATGAGAACTTTGTTGCCAAAGTTGCTGATTTTGGCCTCTCCAAGACTGGTCCTGCAATTGATCAGACCCATGTAAGCACTGCTGTTAAGGGTAGTTTTGGTTATCTTGATCCTGAATACTTCAGAAGGCAACAGCTTACTGAGAAATCAGATGTGTATTCATTTGGGGTGGTGTTAATGGAAGTTTTATGCACTAGGCCAGCCTTGAACCCTGTCCTTCCAAGGGAGCAGGTTAACATAGCTGAATGGGCAATGACCTGGCAGAAAAAGGGTATGCTTGATCAAATCATGGATCAAAATCTTGTTGGCAAGGTGAATCCTGCTTCCCTTAAGAAGTTTGGGGAGACAGCCGAGAAGTGCTTGGCTGAGCATGGTGTGGACCGCCCGTCCATGGGAGATGTTTTGTGGAATCTTGAATATGCATTGCAGCTTCAAGAGACCTCATCAGCCCTCATGGAGCCCGAAGATAACAGCACAAACCACATCACTGGAATTCAGTTAACACCCCTAGACCATTTTGATAACAGTGTCAGTATGATTGATGGGGGCAACTCTTGCACTGATGATGATGCAGAAGATGCTGCTACAAGTGCAGTGTTCTCACAATTGGTAAATCCTCGCGGAAGATAAGCTCTTGTAAGTGGCCAAAGGCCATCAAAGTAAGTGGCAGTTCTGGCCTGATTGGTGAATCAAGGTTGTTTCTTATTTAGTTACCGCTTTTGTAATCCATTTTTTTCTCCCAAAACCAATTTACTTTGTAATATACTTGAGTGATAGTGATGGGTGCCATTAAGCTGGCCAGTAATTACATGCAAGGTACCCCATAAAATTCTGTTGTACTAAATATAAACCAATTAGGAGTTCTGCTCCTCATGTTGTTCTTACACCTTACACTATATGAAGGTTATAAGTTCTTTCATCACAAGAACATGAATACTGCTTGGTAAGTTGAGTTCCTTTCCTTTTCACTCTTTTCAGGAATGTTTCTTGATGCTGTTCAAAGAGACGTTTAAAAAGTTTCATGATTTAATGAATTAGTGTGTAATCAATGAGTTGACAATGATGGGAAACATTTTGGCCAATATTTTGTGACATGAATTGTTATAAATGTGAAAGATATCATTAATTAGCCTCGAAACCTCTAGGAAATATGAAAACCAGAAAGCACGCCAAAGATATGAAACTGACTTGGACCATATGAATTTTTCTGGCATGCTGGTTGTCATTAGTGTCTGAACTGATACGCGGCCTCAAATTTATTTCTTGACCTTTTCTATTTCCACATGGTGTGTTTCTTTTGCTTCTTTTTGAAATTTGTTTTAAGAAATCATGTGTGCATGTATCATTTGACTTGTGTACAAAATCATTTTCTTTTTAAAGTTTTCTGAGACAACTTTTTTAAAAACTAAATTATTATTCTTGAATATGACATAAAAGTCTAAGATTTGCAAAAAGTACTTTTAAGAATCCTTAAATGAGTTATTCACTAAAAATATTTTAAGAATATTTGAGTAAAAATATTATGATTAAAAAGAATTTTTCTTTTACGCGACGAATACGGAAAAAAAAAGTCCGAGTCAAAAAATCAAAGTCATCAAGAGAAGTAAAATGAGAAATTTCTTGGATCAGAAGTGTTTGAATTCTGATCTTAAATTTGAGATAGTCTACCATCTCTGTCCAAACAACTAAACGATAAATTTATTATTGAAGCTATACATGGATGATAATTTTACATTTGAAACAAAGAAAGTATACATTTTTTTTCTCTAACTTTTATAATTTAATGTTAAATGAGTGTTTTAAAAAATATAATTTAATATTAAGGTAGTCTTTAAATATTATAATTTAATGATATATTGATTCCACAAAATTTAACAATATAATGTAATTGTTATATTATTACATGTTCTAAAAATTATCAGAACCAAAAAATAAAGCGAAATGAAAATTTTCAGAACCAAAATCATCATTTTATCCATTGTTGATGCATTAGATTTTACACTATGGATAATAGAAAATGAACATAAAAAGTCATACATATTTATTCAAATATATGTATTGGGATATCCATCTGGTGGGTGTTGAGATTTAAGTCAAAATGCATGGGTCATGGTTACGTGCATAGGGCATGGTTACATGCATGGGTTTACTTTTGCGTTTTTTGTTTAATTCACGTTTTCTGTTTTAGTCTGTTATTTCTATTGTATATAAACATTACAGTTTTTATACATCAATAATAAGGAAGATTCTTTATTCTCTAATAGTAGCTCTCCCATTTCATGGTATCAAGAGCTTTTTACGGTCCAAGGACGTGAGTTGTGTGTGCCTGCAACCAAATCAGACGTTGTGTGTGGTGCAGTTTAATGAGAGTGCATTTTTCAACGAAGTGGAAAGAGTGGTGTCTTGGTTTGTGGTGTATCATGGCCGATATGGGTGGGATGATACAAGGAGGTCTACCTATCTTTGATGGTAGAATGTTCAATGATTGGAAGATTAAGATGAATGCGATCTTCATCTTTCAAGATGTGGCTGAAGTTGTTGAGCATGATGTTTCACCACCGGGTGCGAAGGCTACTGAGGATGATAAGAAGGCTTACAAGATTCAACAAAAGTTAGATGGCAAGGCAAGGTACTTGATATATCAATGTGTTAGTTCACCGATCTTTAATATGATTTCCATGGCGGGCACAACCAAAGAAGCGTGAGATATCTTGGTGGCTACGTATGGTGCGGGGGATAAACATAAGAAAGTGAAGTTACAGGCTCTGCGAAGGCAATTTGAGTTCTTCATCATGGAAGAAAGTGACTCGGTGGCTGGGTTCCTCAACAAGGTTCAGGAACTTGTTAATGGCATGCGTTCTTGCGATGACAAAGTATCTGAACAGAATATCGTGAACAAAGTTTTGCGATCACTTCCTCCAAGATTTGATCATCTTGTAATTACCATTGAAGAGACGAAAGATCTGGATGCACTGACCTTTCAGGAGCTGCAACATTCGCTCGAAGCCCACGAGTTGCGGATGTCTGAGCGGAGATCCTATCAAGAGCAGGTTCTTCATGCAAGAACGAATGGAAAGCAGAAAAAAGATTCCAAAAAAGGAACTAAGACAAAGAATAAGGGAGATTCGGATGAGCAGAAGAAAAAAGACCAGAAACAAAATTCTGGAGAAGATAAAGAGAAGAAGTATGACAAGAAAAAAATCAAGTGCTATAACTGCCAAAAATTCGGGCATTATGCACGAGACTGCTGGGATGGTGACGGAGCCAAGAACAACCCAAAGAAGAATGCGCGAGTTCATCTTGCAGAGGAAGAAAATTCTGATGAAGAGGCTGTCATGTTGATGGCGGAGACAGATGCGAAGCTCGACGGTGAATATTTGTGGTACTTGGACTCTGGGTGCTCCACGCACATGACCGGGAAGAAAGATTGGTTCGTGCAGATAAGTGATATTAGTCAAGAAAAGATACGTTTTGCAAATAATAGTTCTCTCACAGCAAAAGGAATTGGTAGAGTTGTGTTGCGAAACAGTGATGACAAGGACGTGATAATTGAAAATGTTCTATATGTGCCCGGGTTGAAATCAAACCTTCTGAGCTTGGGCCAGTTGATGCAAAGAGGTTTCTAGATGACACTTGAAGATAATGCCTTACGTGTTTTTGATCAAACCCAAAAGCTAGTTATACATGCTGGTCTGTCCTCCAATCGAACTTTTCAGGTTAAGATGGATGCTTTGAAGCACCAATGTTTTGCTGCTGTCAGTGACAAGTGCTAATGGCTGTGGCATCTCAAATTTGGACATCTTAACTTTTGGGACTTAAGAGAACTTGGACAGAAGAAAATGGTAGTTGGTATTCCTCATATGTGTGTTCCAGACGAAGTATGTAGAGAGTGTATGGAGTGCAAGCAAACGCGGAACAAATTCAGTAAAGAGGTATCCTCGAAAGCTTCGGAGAAACTTGAGCTAATACATTCAGATATTTGTGGTCCATTGCCGGTTGAAACACCTGGGGGCAGCAAGTATTTTATTACTTTTACAGATGATTACACGAGAATGTTATGGGTGTATTGCTTGCGAAAGAAGAGTGAAGCGTTTAAAGTGTTTGTGCGGTTCAAGACACTGGTTGAAAATCAGTGTGGCAAGCAGTTGAAGAGGCTTCGTGTTGATGGTGGGGGAGAATTCAACTCTCTTGAATTCAAGAATTTTTGTGCTGAAAATGGAATAGCTCATGAGGCAACACCACCATATACACCGCAGCATAATGATACTGCAGAAAGGAGGAACCGGACCCTACTTAACATGGTAAGGTGCATGCTTAAAAGCAAGGGTGTTCCAAAATATCTATGGGGAGAAGCGATTTCAACTGCTGCCTATGTTTTGAATCGCTCACCAACAAAGAAGCTTGATGATATAACACTAGAGGAAGCCTGGTCTGGTCAGAAACCAGATGTAACTCATATGAGAGTTTTTGGATCTCTTTGTTATCACCGCATTCCAGATCAAACACGTAGCAAACTTGATGACAAAGGTGCTATGACAGTCTTGATTGGCTATCACGTAACAGGCGGCTATAAATTGTTTGATCCAAACTCTCGAAAGGTAATCATACACAGAGATGTGGTGGTTGATGAAAGCTCGTGTTGGAACTGGCAGGAAACGAGTCAAGTAACTCAATCAGGTACAACACTAACAATTTCACTAACTGATAATGTTGTAGGTGATGTAACAGTGCAGCAGGAACCTCATGAACAAACAAGAAGATCATAGCGAGTTACTCAGCCACCTACACATTTCAAGGATTATGAGGTTTTCAATGATCTAGCGTTAACGGAGAATGGAAATTTTGTGCATTTCACCCTGATAGCTGAGGCAGATCAGATAGAATTCTATGATGCTATTCGAGATACTCATTGGGTGCGAGCCATGGAGGAAGAGATTGAAGCCATAGAGAAAAACAAGACGTGGACACTGGTTGAACCACCACTAGACAGAAGACCAATCTCTCTGAAATGGGTCTATAAAATAAAAGTAAATCCCAAGGGTGAAATTGTGAGGTACAAGGCGAGATTGGTCGCCAAAGGATTTCTCCAAAAAGCAGGAGTAGACTATGGAGAAATTTATGCTCCTGTGGCTCGACTGGAGACTGTTAGAATCATTGTAGCAATGACAACGTGGGAGGGTTGGTCCTTCCACCAACTAGACGTAAAATCTGCCTTCTTAAATGACTATTTGGAGGAGGAAATATATGTAACACAACCATTGGGATTCATAGTCAAAGGAGAAGAGCACAAGGTATACAGGCTTAATAAGGCACTCTATGGGTTTAAACAAGCTCCTAGAGCTTGGAATCATCGGATCAATCAGTTTTTGGAGAAGATTGGTTTTGTGAGATGTGTTTCCGAACAAGGGGTGTACACCAAGTGCTGGAAAGACCAAGACAGAGAAGAGAAAATGATAGTATGTCTTTATGTGGATGATATGTTGTTGATTGGGAGCAAGCCAGAAGCAATTGCAGAGTTTAAGTCTCAAATGCATAGTGAATTTGAGATGAGTGATTTGGGAAGACTCAACTACTTCCTAAGCATTGAGTTTCAGTTCACAAAAGCTGGAACTATTATGCATCAGATGAAGTACTCACGAGATCTTCTCAGCAAGTTTGGGATGAAGAATTGCAATGCTGCAGTAACTCCAACAGAAATGGGTCTGAGATTAGAAAGGGACACTGAGGAGGAAGATGTTGATCACACAGAATTTCGCAGAATCATTGGGATTCTGAGATACTTGTGTAACACCAGACCTGATTTGAACTATGGTGTTGGCATTGTTAGTAGACATATGCAGAGCCCGAAAGTTAGCCATATGAATGCCGTGAAACGTATCTTACGCTATTTGCGTGGAACGTGTAATCTTGGTATAATGTTTCCATGCAAGAAGCCAGGGGGTGAGATGAAATTGGTGGGATTTGCAGATGCAGATTGGTGTGGTGTCAGGGAAGATAGAAAAAGCACTGCAGGTCACATATTTTACTATGGCGAATGACCAGTGTCCTGGAATTCAGTCAAGGAACCCGTGGTGGCTCTCTCCTCCTATGAAGCAAAGTATATAGCTGTTGCATAGGCTGCATGTCAAGCTGCATGGCTTAGGATGCTGTTGAAGGAGCTGAATGCAGAATTGGTCCAACCACCAACATTGTTTGTTGATAATAAGTCTGCAATAAACTTAGCTAAACACCCATCAGCTCATGGAAAAAGCAAATATATAGAAATGGGGTTTCATTTATTGAGAGAGCATGTTAATGATAAGAAGCTTGAAGTAGAACACTGTAGTACAGAAGATCAAAGTGCAAATATCTTTACCAAGCCTTTGAAGACTGTTAGATTTTGTAAACTCAGAGAGTCTCTGGGAATTGTTCGGTTTTGACTTAAGGAGACATGTTGAGATTTAAGTCAAAATGCATGGGTCATGGTTACGTGCATGGGGCATGGTTACGTGCATGAGTTTACTTTCGCGTTTTCTGTTTAGTTCACGTTTTCTGTTTTAGTCTGTTATTTATATTATTATATATAAACATTACAGTTTTTATACATCAATAATAAGAAATGTTCTTTATTCTCTATCCGGAGCTCTCCCATTTTAGTGGGCACATTTTTCTAACTTTATATTTCATAAACTAAATATTTCTTTTCTATTTTCCATTGATGTATGATAAAGGGAAAAATAATTTTAGAAATTAATTTTGAAAATTTATTTATACAAATAAATTAAAAACTAAACTATTTTAATAATTCTAATTTTAAAATTCTCCGTAACTAAAGAAGATAACATCGACCGTAACTTCTTTTAACGATAAAAGTTAATAATTTTATTTTTTTAAAGACACCACTTCCTATTCTTTATGGTACTTTATGTTAAAGAGGCTTTATATAAATATTGTATATGATGATATGGATAGGTCTATTAAATGGGCTGGATTGACCCAGATGGACGGCCCAATTAAAAATTGTAGCCATTCTTCCTCTACCCGTACCGAATCCCTATACCTCATATTTTAAAAAATAATAATATTTTTATTTAAAACGATAATAATATTGTACACACATATATACTTTTTCTTTTATGCTTCTACACGATTTTTTTTTGTTTTTTATTAATTTGTTTTTAATTCAGTTTTAAATACTACTGACACTATACTCACGAATCTTACATTACATTGATTAAAAATAATTTTTATCCATCCTCTTTTCTAAACCCACTTATAAAACGTATTTTAAGGAAAAATCTTTTCGAATGATTTTCGAATTTACTTTCTTATTTCCTTTTTCTTCTATTATTCTTCTTTAATGATCCACTTATTGGAAAATGACTAGTTTAGCTTCAGCATGGTAAAATTAATTAAATGAGAGAATTCTCATAATTTCACCATAATTTAAGGTTAAACAAATAAAAAGATTCCATCCACTTTTTATTCAAGACCACAATTCAAAAACACAGAGTATCACATCACCGTTACAAACTGAATCATTCAAGTTCCACATTGCTGACTTCAAATTTCATCTTCTGCAAACTATGCCATTCCCACTGTTGGCCATACCAGTGCAATCCATGACACCATATTCACTCACTAAGTTAATATTCTCTGAAGCTTCTTTTGCATCATCAAACAAACAAACCCCACAATCTGCAGAGACTAGTGATGTGGTTCTGTACCTGTCTTCCCCTCCAACCACTGCCATTGCCACCCCCAACTTTGCTGGATTCTGAAAATCTGGCTGATAAGTCCTTCCAAGAACCCCTTCAACTTTTGAAGACAAACCATGGAATTTGAACTGCACCTCCAAATGAACAAAGCAATCATCCTCAGGAATTTGGTAGTTGTGGATTCTACTATCTTCCTTTGTGACAGGCACAACATTGACAAATATCTCAGCAACTTCTGGGAGAGTAATGGTAACACTGTTCTTGCTTGATGTTCTCTCTATTCTAACTTGATTTTGTGGGCACTTCCATGTGGAGAGGTAACCATCTGGGATGGCAAGTTCTTTGCCATTGTGAGAAAACTTCAAGTGGTCAACTTCACCGTTCCATGATGGTGCTGGGGTGGCCTCAATGGTGAACTTGTGGGAACCGAAGAGGAGTCCCAATGCTTGGATCCAAGTGTAGTCCCTTGTTCTAGTTGCTGGCCTGAGGCCAATGAAACGTGCATTGATCTGGAGGTTGACATCGGATACTAAGGCGAAATGCTCATTTCTCCTTCCATGGAAGTAGAAAACAATTCCATCTGCTCCAACAAAACGAGGGTCCAGGCATGCAGATCCACGCCCATTGCAATTTGGTTTGCGATCTGTTGTCATCAAACATGAAATGAAAACTTTTTAAGCTTCCACAAAATGGTAAATGGTTGTAATCAATCATCTCATGCGTGACAAATCATGAATATATTAAAAATTAACTGATAATTCTGTCAGCAACCACTGAAATTACTCATTGTATCCTTACTTTAGAATCAACTTCTAGAATGAATGATCTTACTTTTGCATTGAGCTTCGCAAGTGGGAGAATGACAGTCAAGATAGCAGACTTTGGCTTTTGGGTTGGATGGTGATTGAAGAGGGCACTCATTCGGGCATGACACTTTCTTGGCAAAGCACCGACTGCCGAAGGTGGTGCAGGTCAGAATGTTGTTTCCTGCAATGCTTTGCATTTCACAGAATGCAAACAACAGCAAGAGATAGAACAAGCAATTTATACTTGAGAAACTCATGGCTTTCCTCTTATACACAAGGAAATACCAATGTGAACAACTTGTGTTATATGTTCTCTATTTGGTTTATCACTATTTATAGAGAAACTCATCAGCAAGTGGTCATTTTTCTACTGGCATGCTTGTTATTGCTTTCTTAAAGTTTCATCAAATGAAAATGATTCACAGAACGTGTCCCGGGATGAATTTCTTGAATTTGGGTACATTTCTTTATTTTTGATCTTGTTAATTAATGCATTTATATTCACATTATTATGATATGGCAAGTGATGGTTGACCAATGTGGCTTTCACTGAAGGCAAAGGCTCATCAGTTGCGTGTATAAGAGAGGGGTCGTTGATCCCCCCTTTAAGTCTGGTCTGGCCATGAGACATGGAGGAATTATTATGAATTTATTAGTCACATTGGAAAATGATTTCAATGATGCTTCTGAAAAAATAATAAACTCTTCAGTTGTTTGCTTTGTTAAGTCTTGGATCACAACGAAAGCTATTTGAAATATGCATTTGACTTAATCCCATTCAAAATCAAACATATAAACTCTTACTGTTAATTAGAAATTCTGAATCACTCATTTGCTTTCCTTTTTTATAAACCTCATTGCTTTGTTGAATTTCTAACAGCATTTTTTTTTATTCAAAAGAGTAAAAGAATACGCATCACTATCTTGTTATTTTTTAATTTTAGAAAAAGGTTACTTCAATATAAACTTAATTAGTATTGTTATTTTTTAAAAATTTTAATAATTAAAAAAAAATCACACCATTTTAGTAAAAAACCTGGTGGGATAAAGCATTTATACAAGTGTATTGTTACTTAGTCAATTTTGTCATGGGCTAAAAATATGTTAGCTAGCCCAATCCATCACTTTTCAATAAGTTAGGGTTGTTATTCGTAAGAATTTTAATTTTAATTTTATAATAATAATAATAATAATAATAATAATAATAATAATAATAATAATAATAATTATTTTATCATGATTCTTATAAAAGAACTTTAAAGAAAATATCAAAAATTTAATTTATATTTAATATAAAAAAATTAATATTTATTTGACTACAATTTTTAATATTTTTTTAAGAAAAGAATTAAAAATAATAGTAATATTTTATAAGTAGGTTAACCTACTTAGAGACATAATAATTATGATAGTTTTCTTTACCTATTCTTGAATTTGTAATGTGAGGTGTAGAAAACAAACAATTGAGGTGTAAAAAAACAGATATAAAAAGTACCATAAAACATGAATTAAGGATGAATCCTGTTCATACACCCAATATAAAAGAATTTGTAAAATATTACAACTCTGTCTCTATTTTTTTTTATCTATATTTTTTTATATATTCGTTATTATATAATAATTGCAGAATAGTTCTTAGTGATAAAATTCATCTATTTTTATTAAAACTTCACACCACAAAAAGGAATCAAATAATATATATATATATATATATATATATATATATATATATATATATTACAACTAAAAATAGTACAAAAGAGAAAAAACATGATTTGTTATAAAAAAACAATTATGCTAGTACCTTTCTCAAATTGGACGGTAGATGTCACAAAGACACAACCTTGATATAGAATTGTTAAAAGCTGTAAATGTTTAGTAAAGTAAGCTGGTTGGAAGATAGAATAGAAAAAAAAGATGAATTAGACCTTGTTGAATTTTCTCACGAACCATGACAATTGATCCTAATGTGTTTAGTGCGCTCATGAAACACACGATTATGAGCTAAATAAATGATAGACTGATTGTTATAATAAACTGCAATAGGACCTAATTTAACATGAAGATCATGGACAAGATAATGTAATTATTGAATATCAAAAGTGAGGCGGGCTAATGCTCAATATTTTGCTTTTGAGGATGAACGAGAGATAGTAGATTGTTTCTTGAATTTTCAGGAAATCAAGAAAAAATCAAGGATAACACAAAATCTGGTGATCGAGTGGCGAGTATCCAAACAACAAGCCAGATGTCAGCAGAGAGACGAATGTCAGCAAAGATAGAGAAAAATAACCCTTGGATAGGTGAACATTTTAAATATCTAAGAACCCGAATGATAACTTTATAATGAACATCAAGAGGTTGAACTATGAATTTACTAAGTTGCTGGACAAAAAAGGTAATGTGAGGGTGCGTAAGTGTGAGATATAACAGATTACCGACTAATCTGCGATAAGCAACAATATCAGAATAGGATTGTCCATGATTAGCCTGAAGTTTAGTAGAGAGATCAAAAGGGATGGTAACAAGTTTGGAATCAAGTAAACCACTATCATCAAGAAGTTCAAGAGTGTATTTATGTTGGTTCATGTGAATGCCGACCTTGGACCGTGCAATTTCTAATCCCAAAAAATAATGAAAGTGCACTAGGATCTTTAATCTTGAATTTAGTATCCAAGATACATTTGACATAATTAATTTCATCCATATATCATCAATGATATGAGCCTCATTTGCACAATGGTTGACTTAGGATATTTAGGGTTAGAACCTTGTAGGAAATTTAGGAGATTAATGAGAAGGTGGATTAGAAAGTGGTGAATGTTTTAGGGTTGGGCAATATTTTTGAAATGTCGATATCTGAAGCTATAAAACTTCGATTGAGCTGATTCAAAAAATGAGGTGAGATTTCTCGTTTTGAATTTCAATTTAGGCTAAAAAAACACTCAATTTGGATGAGTAGAACAAAAGTTATGACCACAAAATAAATCTGGGCAAAACTAAGATTTTTGGGTTTTGGTAAAGAAAGAACAAGAGGTGAATGTGAAAGGTTGAAGGAAAGAATCACTCTTCTCAAGGGAGCCAACTCACAAAGGATGTGAAAGTCATTTGATACAGCCAAGGGTTATTGAATTACTCAAGAACTTATGAAAATCACTCTCACTAATATGAAAGGGCTAAACTTTAATATTTCTGAATAAAACTCAACCTATATTTTAATAAAAATGGTTAAGCTTTTATAAAAGCTGTTGCTATTAGAGTTAAAAAGACTCAATAAAGGAAACTAAATACTAATAATAATCCATTAATCTAGGAATTAAAAACTACTTAATAGAGGAAAATAAATGCTAATAATGATCCATTAACCTACGAATTGAAAACTACTTAATGACTGATTGTAACTGAAATTATGGCAACTAAAAGTCAATCAATTATGTATCATCTTGATCTTCCAAAGGTTGATGCCTAAGTTTCCATAATTGGACACTTATTACAACTTGAAACAAAACCAAACTAAAATCTATTAATTGATTAACCCAAAACATAATTTAGTCAACCAATTTTACAAAGGATGGGACCATTATTTAAACAAACTTAAAGACTGAAACAAAGTGACGCATTAGTCTTCCTCCATTTGGGCCATGATGTAATTCATAACTTTGGTCTTTTCACTTTGAAATGTGGGCTTGTATTCAAATAATATGGACAACACTTGTTGAAGAACTTCCTTTGTTTTCCTTGCTCTAGCCTTTGCCATAGGTCATCCAAGTCCTTCAAGTGGATCCTTGCCCTTGCTCATGGTCATGTCCTCATCAATCACCAGTTAAGACAATATCATCCACATAAACTAATAAAACTATGAAAGAAGTGAAAGTAACCTTAACAAACAAAGATTGATGAACAAAAGATTATTTGTAGTTGAGCGATAAAAAAGTGGTAGAAAGAATACTTTGCCATTACCTGCTGGTTTGCTTGAGTCCATACAATGGCTTGTGAAGTTTGCACACCTAGAAAGAACTCGGTGGAAGCAAACCAAATGAAGGGACCATATAGACTTCCTCATGAAACTCTCCATGAAGAAAGACATTATTCACATCAAGCTAGTGCAGAAATCACCATTTAACTGCTATTATGGTTAGAAGAACACGAATACTGGTGATCTTTAAAACTGGAGAGAATGTGTCAAAATAATTTACTTTTTCTAATTGAGTGTAGCCCTTGGCCATTAAGCGGGTTTTGTATCTATCAACAATGTTATCTGCATGATATTTAACCTTGTAAACCCATTAACAACCAATTAGACTCTTTCCTTGTGGGAGATCAACAATATATCAGGTGTTATTTTATTGTAAAACTTGTAACTCAACATTCATATCCTTTTACCAACAATACAATTTAGATGCTTAGGAGAAAATAGTAGGTTCAGAAATGTTAGTAACAACAAAACAAAAACTTTTATAAGAGGAATTGCATTTGGAATAATTAAGAACTGAGGATAAGAGATGGAAACAAGTACCCTTAGGAGGATGTGTGGAACTGCTAGAAGCAATTGCAAAATAATAATGAAAATCTATTAAGTAAGAGGATGGTCTGCGAGATCGGGTGGAGTGTCTAATATGTGGAGAAGGCGGGACATGAGAACTAAGGTTTTGGTTAGAGTTTATAGTAGATGGAATGTCTGCAGTAGGAAGATGATGAATAGGCTTGGACAAGAAAAAGATATTTGCAGGAGATGATATATCATATATTGGATAATAGAGGAGAAGAAGGTGAGAAAGGAGTGGTGGAGGGATGAAAAGGAAACACAATTTCATAAAGAATGACATTTCTTGAAAGAACAATTTGATGGGTATGGAGATCATACAAAACATAGCTTTTAATACATTCCTTATATCCCAAGAAAACAACTTTGCTGGCATAGAGTTGAAATTTAGTTATGTGATTTTGAAGCGTAGTGGCATAAGCAAGACAACAAAAAACATTTAAATGGATCATGCTAGGTGGTTTATCATAACACTACATAAGGACATTTAAAACACAATAATAGAATAGGTAGTCTATTAATGATTTAAACAACTTGTTTAACAACATAAGGCCAAAAAATGTGAAGTAGTTGAGTTTGGTAAAACAAATCTTGAGTTACATTTAAAAGATGTTGATGTTTGCGTTCAACAATACCGTTTTGTTGAGGCGTTTCAACACAAGTTCTTTAATGAATAATACCTTTGGATGAAAAGAAATCAAATAGTAAATTCTA